ATACCCCTGAAAGTTTCTCTCTTGACAAATGACAGCTGGCACTTTTTACCTAGCAGGATCTAAGTATTTAACATATCCTTGGAGAGAGAGAGGTTAGCAATATCTAGAACTGGCATTTAAATTTCCTAGTTATTCTCTTCCTGACTCTCCTAACATTACTTCTTTGTCCTCTTTATTTTCTTACTGGTCTCATCAGTGCATTCAGATAAATATTTGTCAGATATATAACCCAGGACCTTGGGTCCTTCCTCCTCTGATGTGCTCAAGGCCTAGCAGAGAAAGTAGAGCAGGTCTTGAGAGCTTGGGTGAAAGGTGAGTCAGAAACTGGTTTGAAACAGAAAAGCATCCAAACTTTCTCCTTGTTGTTACCTTCTTTTCCAATCACTGGCTACATGTATAGAATACTATTCCTAAACCAGTTCCCTATTATCTTTGCATTAGAATTCAAAGGATCTGGGGAGACCAGGAAAATCTCCACTTGCCAAAGTTATTTTTCACTGGATGGACAGACCCAATTTGACAAGAAAGAGGCAATGAAATTGCATTTGCACTAAATCCTTTGTTGCCTTCCTCTCATTGCCATTTCCAACATCTTTCCATACATCTGATTGAGAAAATGACCTAAACTCTCCTAATAGTAGCAAATTATAGAAGGGTGCATTGCTTCAGTTCCCTCAAACTGGTATAGTAGCCCATGTTCCATTTCTCTCCTGGGAGACCACAAACAGGGATTGATGTATGGCTGAGGAGCCATATAATACTGACTGTCGAACTGCACTTGTTGCAAATGGTTATCATGAGCCTTTCATTCATGAGAGCTCTAAAATTCTCTGTGCAACCATTTCCCAGTTTGTCTCTTGGACACTGAATTAAATTTCATTTTTTCTCTGACTTTCCCTTTAGGAACATCTACTACAATTTAGCTTTCATCTCTGCTCAGTTTCCTACTGTCACAGCTCCTTATTGTCATAAATGGAGAAGCCACCAAACTAGTAGCCTGAAGCCTGGAGTCATCAATCATTGATTCACTAGGCTTGTTACTCAACAGTGTCTTCTGAGGAAAGCTATTTTAACTGTATTTGTAGAGGTTGCTACTAATGTTTTGTATCATTTCAACAAACACATAGAGTGGACCTCTGTCAGGTTTTATGCTAGGTGCTGGAGATATGAAGATGTATCCAACATGTTTTCTGCCTTTTTTAAATTTTAAGTATATTTCAAGAGAAATAGAGAGTTAAGAGGCACTCCCAACAGAGTCCCTATGTTACAATCTGCTCCCAGCCCTAGCCAGCCCAGATCATAGGCATATAGGAATACATGCCTACTGTCCACAAGAGGTCTCAGGACTCAAAACCAGGACCTTGCCCTGTGGGTACAATTATATCACCACTGAGCCACTTGACCTTTCAGATAAGTGGAGGAACCTGGTCATAATTTTTCACATGAATTTAATTTTTTCTGTCTCATTCATTCTTGCACTTAACATATATTTCGGAGTCTACCATGGGCCAAACACTAATTTAGACACTGATGATCCTGATATGAACAAAACAGATATGGCCCATAATTTTTTGGAGCTTTTTGTCAAACTAAGTATCTGCATCTCTGGGGGTCAGTGTTTGATAAAGGAATGTGATGAGTGCAAATTCATGGGTGGTGCTGTTTCAATGCTCAGTTTGCACCACCATATCTCCCATCCTCATTCCAGTGTGAACAAAAGACTGCCTCTATTTCCTTAAGAAAGTACTTTGGACCCAAACTCCTTATTTAGTTAGAAAGGGGTCAAGAACCCAGCCAGTTGTAATTTTAATCTACTTTTCCAAGCAGTCTCAGGGGAGCCTAGGATCTTATGGCAAACTAGTTCCTAAAGTCAGAAGACTGCCTGATGCTTCACCTAAAGTAATCCCTGATTGTGGGATCAATTGTCAGAGTCTGCTAAATAGTACAGGAAGAAGAAATTTTTTGAAACATCAGAAATGTGGTTCCCCATCGGAGTAACTGCAGCTATTCTACCTTGTGACAGGATGAAAGTGCAGCCAAAAATAACACAACATTTATTTGACCAAAGTCTGCCTGCCTTAACAAGAAAATGGCATTCTGTTGTTTCAGCTTAATCAGGATTAAGCAAAATAACAACCAATTGGAAGGTGAAACCTCAAAAGAAATAGAGAAAGTCGGGACTGTTGTAAATGCCTCCAAAGTCTCTGCTCACCCATGTACATTTCCCTGCTTGGGAAGGAAAGGAGCAGAGAGAAGAACTGGTTCAGGTAGAGATAATGTCTGTGCTTTTGTGGTATCCCTGGGTTTAGGTGTCTTTACAGAATTCCTACAGAATGCTTGGGATCGTATGTAGACTGTACACACTCTATATGTATTTTTTGTGTGTATGTACATCTGTCTGGATGTTGATATATGAGTGAGAATGAGTGAATGAGCCAGTGTGAGTGTGTGTGTGTGTGTGCATGCGCATACAGGTGTGTGTATATTAGAAGAGTATTTTCAATTACTAATCCTAACTCAACATTATTTTGCAGCAATATAAAGAAAGACTTGCTTATCCCTGGTGAATCTGGTTTTCCCTAATGGCATATGAGCTCTCTGAATACAGGGAGTCTCTGAGAGTCCTTTAGTGCTGAGTTGGGCTCCTAAGAAGTGCTTTGTTGAATGTCAAATGTCAACAATTGTAACACATATCTGGATCTGAAGTTGTGGCCACTACTAGTCAACTGGTTAAGAGGAGGCAATCTAGTCATACAGGCTGTCTTGCTGCCTCTAAGGGATAGCCATCACCTCTATTCCTCATACATCAAACATGCCCTGTACTGAACTCTTCCTGTACTGAACAGGGCTCTATTAGGTGACAGAGAAGCCATGAAGATTTGGTACTGACCCTCAAGTAGTTCACAGGGAGTCTACTGTACTCTTCATTCCATACTTGAAAGACAAAATTCAGGCCTCTCCCTTCTCCCTGTCTGGACTCCTAACCACTCACATAGTGATGACTTGCTCTTCTGAAAACTAGCCTGCTTCTCCAATTGACGCCTAGACCTTGCCACTGATTAAATAGCCATGTAAGGGACCAACAGATGGCGTGATGGTTACATCGCTGGACTCCCACATAGTTGACTGTGGTTCAAGGCCCAGACCCAGCAGCTTAAAACTCACACTAGGTGTGTGTGTGCATGCATACCCAAAATCCTGAGAGGAGAATGTAAGAGAAGGGCTTTCAGAGTAGCCATCCCCTCGGGGGGTGTGATTTCTCTCTTTCTGTCTCTCTGTCTTTCCAGCAAGTGCACACATCTTATAGCAAAAATCTCCCTTTAAAAACAAACAAACAAAAAATAGAGCCACATAAAATCAACATGTCTAGATCAACTCTCAACCTTCAGTCTTTTCCCACTTGCAGTCCATCCTGTATAGACTACTAAATCAAACATTCCAAAACAACACTTGTATGTTTTCACTTTCCTACTCAAATCCACTCAATGGCTCTGAATTACCTACAGGACAAACTCTACTGCTTCCCTATACAGAAGTTTGTATTCGCCCAGCATATCAGAAGAAGCCTTATCCTGCCAAGTAGTACCACTGAAAATAGACATACAGAAAAAATCTAAGTAGTGAGCTAAACATTTCATATTGTTTGAACATATGTTCCCTGATATTAAGTTTTATTTTCAACATAAATTTAATCATTCCACAAAAATTTATTGATTATCTAATAACTGTCAGGAAGATTGAAAAAACATGGCACATGCCTACTATGGAATACTACCTAGTCATAAAAAAACAGTGAGACCCTGACATTTGATACAAAGTAGACAAATATGGAAGGTATAATGCTAAGTGAAGCAAGCCAGATTATGAAAGACAGGCATTGCATGTCCTCACTTACTATGTACTGAATGTCTGCACTCTACAGCAGAAACTGAAAGATTGGAGGGTATAATAGCAGGGAGGGCAGCAACTGTAGATACTAGAGACAGTATAAGAAGGGATGGGTAATAAGGGGTGGGTAATGGAGGGTGGAAGAGGATCAGGGAAAAAACAAAACATTTAATAGACACAAAAACAAAAAGGTAACTGTTGATAATAATGTATATGGTAATATCTTTGACTTGACTAATATGCACTGTATTCATGCTGGAAAAAAAACATGCTATACACTGTAAAGATGTACAGTGATTAAATGTCAATTAAAAATGAATAGAATTACAAAAATTTAACTGTCAGGCATACAGAGCAGATAATAGCTCCTTTGTTTCTAAAATGATAATTATTTAATAAAATACCTCATATTCAGTAGGTATTGATAGTTGGTTTTAGGGTAGAGTCTCCTGCCTCAATTCTCCACTGAATTCTTGACTGTGGCAACAAAGTAAAATGGTGAGAGAAAGGGAAATTCTTGCATATGGCTCACAAGTCACCCCCTTGTTAGCTATGCTCTGCCCTTTTCTATTCCTTCAGTCTGCACTGAAGCTTTGCTCTGTGCACATCTGTAGAAGGACCAGTTTCCAGAAGTGGCTTATATTTCCAAACTATTTGTATTACTCTGGTCAGTTCATGTCCCTAGTGAATGGAGCTCAGCTGTAAAGAACAGACTTCATGGATGACACCAATTGCTGCCTGACCAAGAATCCCCATCACAACGCTCTCCTCACAGGACTATCTGAACCAATACATGTATAAGTGCCTGCAAAGTATGAGAAGAGAGGTCAGGGGTGGCCTAATTAAATATAGGGAATCAATTAAAGTTTTAAATTATGTTTTGTGGAAGGAAAAGGGTACTCCTGATGTGGATATATAAATATTGTATGAGTAGGTAGGATGAGCAGGGAAGTATGGATTTGCTAAGTGTAGGGCAGTAAGGATAGGGAATCTGTAAAAGACCAGATGACTCTTTAGAACATAGCTGCAAGGCTGTTCCATAGAAAAACCACAATTTATTTTCTTTGATCTATTGAATCTTTCACTTTTATCTTTACAGGAACTATACTTACCATGTCAGTGTCTGACACAGGGCCAAAACTAGTCACATAGATGTCAGTTTTCACTTCAGTCACTGCATCTGGGTGAAAGAAAATAGAAAAGAGAGTCATGAAAAGCAGTTATCTCAGCACAGAGAGAGTCCAGTGCAGTACTCTGAATGACTGTCAACTTGCTGCTTCTGAGAAAAGATGACTGGCACAATCATAAGAAAAAACCTCAAAAACCTCTCACCTTTACTAATCAAACAAGTCCCACTTCAGCCCAGCACACCTGACCCTACTTGAGCACACTAGTAACACAGCTGACATTAACAAAGCCCACCTAAGACATGACATACGTACATAATGGGGCAGTCCATGGTACTAGTACTTTTCTTCTGTGAAAATAAACACACCTACTCCATCTGTACCATATTCACTGTCCTATCCAGCCTTGAGTTCTGGTTCAAATGTAATTTAGATCTTATTGATATCCTACTTTCCAGAACCATATCATTGGCATAATATTTTTTGCTCCTACTAAGTCATTGATGTGTTCAATATATTCAAGGCCATTGCACTCATCCACAAACGTTCCATTTTCGGAAGAGACTATAAGTATCATTTAATAATAGTCAACACTATAATCAGTTTACCAAAAGACACAATTTACTTCCAAGCTTAATCAGCAAATAACATGTTTCAGAAACTACAACTCTATTTTAAATAGTTGGGCTCTCATTTAGAGCACAGGATTCCCTTGAAGCTATTTCTGTGCTTAAAAGAGAAGAGACAACACTTCAGAACCCAGAATATGAGTCCTAAAGGCTTGCGCCTTTTCATAAACTGCCAGGATTATTGGCTGAAGAGGCAAATGCCCATATACCTATGATTTGGCATAATAGTCTCCAGGTGTCCTGCATCTGAGTATGTAAAATGAAGAAATTAATTAATGGGAAAAAAACCCACAATTTTGCTTTGTTTTTGTTTTTTAAGAGGTTTTGCTATAAGGCGCGTACGCTCGCCAGACAGATAGAGAGAGAGAGAGAGATAGAAAGCGAGAAATCACCCCCTGGGGGGATGGCCACGCCACAATCCCTTCTCCTCCATTCTCCTCTCGTGATCTTGGGCATGCACACACATGCGCCCAGCGTGAGTTTTAAGCCAACCAGTCCGGGACGTGAACCACGGTCAACTACATGGGAGTCCAGCGACATAGCCATTATGCTAACTGCTGGTCCCGTAAACACAATTATTTTGTAATTCAGTATTCTAGGTACAAAATTACAGACACAGAACAAGTTTCTACACCAATGTAATTGTAAGATAGTATTTCTGACTTCCAACAGGCAACCCAACCTAGAGAAAAAAAGCCTTCAAAATCGATGGGTATAGTGGGACTGAAGAGTTAATGCGCAGGATGGTCCAATGGTCATCTCAACTGTGAAGTGTCTAAAGAAGGTTTTCATTGCCTCCTTCCTCTCCTCCTCCCCAGCTCAACTCAGTTCCTAATACCACTAGAGGTCAAGTAAACTCAGGAAGCTGCTCTAGTTAAAAGAGAAGAATGTGGGAACCAGCAGTTAGCATAATGGCTATGTCGCTGGACTCACACGTAGTTGACCGCGGTTCATGTCCTGGACCCGGTGGCTTAAAACCCATGCCAGGCGTGTGTGCGTGCGTGCCCAAGATCCCGAGAGGAGAATGGAGGAGAAGGGATTGCAGTGTGACCATCCCCTCTGGGGGGTGATTTCTCGCTTTCTGTCTCTATGTCTCTCTCTGTCTGTCTGGTGAGCACACGCGCCCTATATTGAAAACCTCTAAAAAAAAAAAAAAAGAGAAGAATGTAGGCACAGTGAGTAGAAAAGGAGCTGGTTATAACAAAGAGCTCTGAGCTAGCTTGATGAAAATGCTTAAGTTCAGATCTCTGCCCTTGACTTACTGAATTCCTTATACAAGATTCTTTTCTCTCCTGCTTACCATTTACTTGCCCCTACACAAGGTTTTGGGGTCATCAAACTCTGTATTTTCTCTTTTCTAACTAGGAACTCTGTAAGGCCAAGCAAGAAACATCTGAAGAAAGGTTCTCAATTATAATAAGAGGTAAGCTTTCCCTGTTGCCCAAGGAAGGTAGGGAGATTTATGTAAATCTGGTGCCACTCTTCTCTCTAACCTGTTCATATACATTGAAAAGGTAGATGCTGATGACTAAGAGGGAACCATTGTAGGGAGAAGCCATTTTCCCAATGAGTTAGCGCTCAACCACACTTTATAGAATCCTCTGACTTTAGAAATTGGAAATACAGTTGGAAAGTTTTGTCTAGAAGGTGATCTGGTGCAGTGGACACCAAATTCCTCTTCCTCCATTTCTATCCCATTAAGGGAAGTGGTGTGAAAAAATAAAAGTGGAGGGAGAGGAAAGACAGAAAAGAAAGGAAGACAAGAGAGATAATTAGAAGAGGATTGGAGGTAAAAGAAAAAAAGAAGATAAATGGGAAGAAGCAAGACAAAGAGTAGAGTGAAAGAGTGAGAAGAGGAAATGAAACTAACTACGTAAAGAGCTAGAGAGCAAGAGATATCAAGAGTGAAAGAGAGAGGGTAAACAAAAGAGAAAAAAGGCTTAAGGATAAAAAGAGAGATATACTCCTTTCACAGAGGAGTGATAAAGCCCTCATGCAGTGGGGTGTGAGAAAGGGATTGTTGCCTGAATCCTGGCAGTACAAGTGAGGAAGGGCTCTGAATTTATGTTACCATCCTTAGACCTCTGGCCTTTCACTCCAATGCCAGGCACACAATAGGATATTGAACATTTCTCTACACAGTGTTCTACACAGGAACCACCATGTTGCAATGGCTAGTTCCATTTTCTGGCTAGGAAATCCAGTTATCTTAGAATAAGATATCTGACAGTACACAGAGACGTATCCTACAGAAGTATAGTGTAGTGGTTAAAAGTATTACTAACTGGGTTTGAAGTTAAGTTCTGCCTCTGCTTTCTGTGCCTTTTGTCACTTAACTCCTCTGCACCTGTTTTTATCATCTGGACAATTGGGATAATGATAGAACCTACCTCAGTATTGCCCTCAGGAGTTAAGGAGATGATATTTATTTATTTATTTATTTATTTTATTGCCAGAGTGTGCATGCACTCAGCCAGGAGTATGTGTGCAAGTAAGCACCCCCTAATGAGGCATGGTCATGGCACAATCCCTTTTCCTCTATTGTCTATACCATCAGGACTTTAGGCACACACACACACACACATCCAACACGTTTTTCTTTTTTTGGAGAGGTTTTTGCTATAGGGCACGTGTGCTCGGCAGAAAGACAGAGAGAGACAGAGAGTCAGAAAGCGAGAAATCATCCCCCGGGGGAATGGCCACACTGCAATCCCTCCCCCTCCATTCTCCTCTCAGGATCTTGGGCACACATGCACATGCACCTGGTGTGAGTTTAAGCCACCAGGTCTGGGACTTGAACCACAATAGACTACATGGGAGTCCAGGGACATAGCCATTATGCTAACTGCTGGTCCCTCCAACATGATTTTCAAGCCATCAGGGTTGGGATTTGAACTATAGTCAGCCATGTGGAATCTAGTTCATATGCACAGGACTTAATTGTACTATGAGGCTGGCCCAAGGAGATAGTTAAAACAGTGCTCTGTATATGTTAGCTACTGCTGCTTCTTAACACTATTCCAGAATCTAGGGCACATGAGCCACTTGTAAAGCCAAGTGAGCAGAACTCACATAGAAGTTTAAGGTTCGGTGTCCTAGAAGTAGAAAGCAGTATCCACCTATCACTTCATCTTCTCTGTGTGAAGGAATTATTAGAAGTTTATAATTTATTTTTTAAAAAAGAAGTTTATAATTTATTGAACAAAATGCAAAGACCAGTGAATTACAAAAAAACTGGCGAAGACCACATTCCAGAGTCTAGCTCCTGTCCATAGTCTTCAAAATAGACACATATGTGAAATCTAAATTCATGGAAGATGGACTCCCCCCACCACCACCACCATTGCTATATGTGCTCCTTGGCTTTCTTCATTTGCTTTGGGGATTTATTTTCTATCTAATAGTACCTTTGGGAATAAAAGGTGAATAGAATTACCTTCTCCTTAGGCAAATTTACTATAGTATTGCAGGTACCTGAATGGTCTTGAAATGTTCCATACAAATCTGCATTATGTATACATACACATAAGCACACATACCCTTAATGCTCAGTGGGACTCCCATTGGTAGAGAACTCATTGGTCAGGGCCCTACATTATTTCTGCTTGTTAATGATCTGAGGGAGTAAAGATAAGTTAATCAACAAGTGATCACTCTTTTTATGCTGAGTATGTTGCTCATAACAAAGTGTATTTTTTAGTTTAACTTCTAGCTGTTCCACCTCAGCAAGCACCGATATGTGTCTTATCACTGCCCTTTAGACCCTCAGAGCAAAGTCTGTTTCCTGTTCTTTTTGAGATTTAAAACCTAAGATTTAAAAAAAGTGATCCTTGTACCCCTAAATCTGCTCCTTTTGTCCTTTTCCATTCTAAATGTCCTAACTTCCGTCACTGTTATTTCCTTCTTTTGATAAGGTTTTTAGCACCTTTACTTCCCCATTCACTTTCCCCTGCCTCAGATCTAGTTTGTTACTGACTCTCAATATGTTTTTTTTATTTATTTTTATTATCATCATAATCTTCCTTATATTACATTGGATTACATATAACTTTACAGTGTATTACATTGCTTTTTCAGAAGGGAATGCCATGCATGTCAGACAATACAGAGACATTAATCTCCCCACTTCATCATTCAATATCTTTTCAATGTTTTTCCCAATCATTATTATTGTTATTCTAATTATTATTATTTTTTAAAGTCAATCACTATCTCTCATTTTGCTTGTAAAAAAGACTTTACCTATCATGAAATACTTCTCAGACCAATCCAGTTGAGAATACTATACATGTCATCATCAACAGGTAATAAGCCATATCTGTTTCCCACTGATGTCCTGCCTCTCTATTGTTCTCTTGCTATCTTTCTCTATCCTCTTCTCTTCACCCCCCCCATTCCACACTGTCCTATTCTCATTAAGTACT